AACCATTCTATATAGCAGTATATATTTGTTTCTTTTTACATATTTGTAACTTTTTGTATATTTTTTCTCCAATATAATCTATAACTTATATTTAATTTATTTATTATTTTTAAAATGAGACCATAAATTGAAAGTCTAACGAAAACATATTGAGTTGTATTTTTACTTAAGTTTTAGTAGCAAGGTCGATTATGATAAGAATGCAATTTTCTTTCAAAGTACGGATATTAAATATAAATGGTTTTTTTTTGTAATGGAACGTGTCAATAGTGTCCTTGTTAGAGTGCAAATTCACTTAAGTGTTCTTTTAAATGGTTCTTTTATAGTTTAAGTTATTTTAAATAGTTTATAATTTTCATCATAATGCATTTTTCCGACCAATAATGATCTTCAATAACATTTATACGTATTTGATACAATTTGTATTCTCTTAAAGTGTTTTTCAAATTGTATCTGATCTTAAGAAAAATTCGAATAATTACATATAAAATGTTGCCATGTACATTTCATTTCAATGCATTGTGATTAATGTTTCTATCTCCCTTTTTCTTCTGTCTCATTTTTTTGCGTCAGTATCATTCTCCTTCACTTAATCAGATACTTAACCTTAACTTCTCTTAGGCCGGTATTCATAGTCAAATCTTATATTCAAGACCGTCTTAAAATTATCTTGAGATGCTCCATAGCCAATGAATGTTCCATACAGCATCTTTAGATAAATTCAAGACGGTCTTGAATATAAGATCTGACTATGAATACCGGCCTTACTTTAACGTTTTATTTTTAGTAGCAAGGTCGAGACATTATGTTTGATAAGAATACAATTTTCTTTTAAAGTACGGATATTAAAGATAATTTTTTTTTAATGGAACGGCACGTATCGATAATATCCTTGTTACAGTATAAATTCTCTAACCTTCTTTAAGTTTCTTTTTTTGCAAACTGTCAAAATTTAATCGTCTCGCCGCTGACAGCTGTCTTGCAGCACGAGTCAGCCAAACGAGAGAACCAATCAGCATCGCGGAAAAGCAATAATAATAGACTCAGTGAAACATCATTGTATCGAAATGAGAAAAAACGCATTTTGAAGGGGAGACTCTGTACTATCGCATGCTTTTTATTCCATTAAGTTGCAACACTTGCCTCTCGCCATGGATCATTGCAAACTCGGACAAAAATTTTTCAATTTCGCATGCTCTCGTTTTGTCATCTACCATTTTGAAAAAAATTATCTCACAAAACTCTGATTTATCGATTCTTAAAGTAGAAATTTCAAGCTATAATTTCTTTTTTGAAAAACCTTTCTATCATTATTACTCGCGTAGTTATCGTCATTCGAAATTTGATAATTTTTTGACAAATTTTAGGTGTACCGCTTTTTTTGGACTAAGTATATGTATACTCGTACTTTAAAGAAATGTTTTGAAACTCTGTATAATAAAGTCAAATAATATAATACAAAAATTTTAAGATTGATCGCTACGGCTATCGTAATCATAAATTATTTATGTTAAAATGTCTTAAAAATATTAATTCTGTATAAAAGGTGTAACTAAATAAATATGTCAATGGTGAAAAATTGAAAATATAATTTTCTCAAATTTTTGCACAGAGCAGTAACTTATGTATTAAATCCACACTTTTTTAAATATATTCTATTTTATACTTAGAATAATTATTTAGTAGTGTTGATCTTTTCACATTTTTCAGTAGCGATGAGTTTCTCATATCATCTTATTTAAATGTTACTGTGTTAAAAGTATAAATATAAATTTTATAGTCCAATTTATGGTATAAAAATTAAATATATTACATATGCACGTGGCGTCGCGTTAATGCCAATACTTGTGTCAAAAGTATAAATATATATTTTTCAGTCAAATTTATGGTATAAAGATAATGACATATGCACGTGGCCTCGCGTTAATGTCGATACTTATGTCAGCAATGTCATAATTTGGCTCATATCGCAACTTGTTTGTTCATGCTTTATCAGGTGACACGTATGTATATATAACGTTGAATCCAACCTTTAGAACGGCACATCAACTCGATTCCGATTCAGTCGAGGTCTATATTAAAAACGTGTTTTTCGTAGTTGGTTTCATTTAAAATGTTGCCGACAGTTGTACATTTATATGTTTTATTATTTTTTATGATAAAGATAGTGCATAGCCAACCGTTGTGTTCTTGTAAATATTGTTTTTTTAGATATTTCTATAAACGTCGATAGTGTGTAATCATACCGTGTGCGTGTTATTTTTCAGGTAATCAAACGGATTCCGATTTCGCGTCTGACATCAGCCTAATATATTACAAATGGTGTGTATTTTGCAGTAAAGTATCTAAATAACAATTAGCAATAATAATCATATGCTTGTTTCTCAGCAATAATGAAACTCCTGCCACAGTCGCCTATCCTATCACAGCGCCAAACGGTTTACTCGACGTGTTGGAAGATAAAAACCGGACAATCTTTTATATTTTTGGGTATTTGCAATATCCGGAGGATGAAAATGTGCAATTAATGATGGAAGGTACAGCGTTTTGATAGACCATTATATAATCAAAATGAGAATTAATATACGTTTATATCATCAGCACTATGTGACAAAAGAACGGACAACGTTGTGCTACTCGATTGGAGTAAGTACTCTGGTGGGACTTTGGAGACCGTGTTCAGCAATGCTGAAAAAGTAGGAGATTTGTACGCACAAAGTATACGACTACTTGTGGCTAATGGCCTGGACGTATCGAAAATTTATACCGTCGCGTACTCTGTGGGTGCTCACATTGCTGGTTTCGTCCGTAAATGCAACGGCTTTAAGATATCTCGTATCACAGGTATATAATACAATTATCTTTTAGAGATGCGCGTGTTATATTTTTATGATTAATAAATTTGTTTTTACTTCTCATTTTAATTTCTCATTTGTCTTGTTACTTTAAATAATTAATTTGTTAAACATAATTTATGTTTTCTATTTAGCTTCATTTATCGTGTTAAGAAAAGAAATCTACAAAAATTATCATTTACAACTTATAGTTTTCTAAGGTGTATATAATTCACGAATTGTTGATAACGTTAATGTCAAATTCTCGTTTGTAGCACTGGATCCAGAGTATACTGTTTCATATCCTAACGGGTGTTTTCTCGAGTCTAACGATGCGATGTGGGTCGATGTTATTCATACGGACATGGGTGGATATGGCATCCCATGGACTATGGGGACAGCCGACTATACAGGGTGTGTCCTAATACCCGTATGTCCCGTAGATGGTAGATAGACCGGGGCAAACTGAATAGAAAAGTCCTATACCATTTTGCAAAATTCGCAATAGTTATCGAGAAATTAATTTTAATGTCTGAGCGAATAAGAGCGTAGAAGGCGGCAGGCCGGACTCGGCAGGCAACGGTGGGGCATCATCTAATAGCGAGAGGTGGAGCGGCGCGCCGAAAAAAAATGTCAAAAAGCTTGCCGCTCGCTGCTTGACAACTTTTTTTCGGCGCGCCG